CTTCATCTGAAACCTGCTGACACGGTTTCTAGGATCTGCAGGTCTATTTCTAGTGCCACCTGGAAGGGACCTGGATATATATGTTTGGTTACAGCTATAATGCATATTTGTCCCCTTAGTAATCGGACTAATTTATATAGAGGACTATTGCCCTAAAGCTGGCTTGATCCCACACTGTCCAGTTCACTGTAGGTGGCCACAATCCAAAGAAATGCGGATTAGATCTTAATTTCTGGTCTGTCTCGAAGTCTCCAGTTATTATGACACGAAACTTTAGGTGTGATGCTGTATTTGACTTCTAATTAGAACATGATTGTAGAGAAGAGTGTCTAATAGTGTAATGGGTCTCCTGTTTGGTGTCTAAACAGAATATAATTTGGTAAAATAGTGTCTATGTATTGTATATATTGAGTTTATTGTGACATTACATGCAGTTTCAAAATTTGGATGTGTGGCATCTAATTAAGAAATAACTGTGTTTTCTTGCTGTCTGATGAACGACATGTTATTTACATTTCTTTTGGTCAAATTTGATATAAACTACAACGTGTAACGCCCTATAAGTGCACTAAAAAATAAAGTGCGACCTTTGTGGCTCCAATAGAAATCAGCTGCTTGATTCATTCGGTATCTTTCCAGTGTGTTATTGTGGGGATTAAAGCAAACACCTTACAAGCATTTATTTTCAAAATCCAGGTTTATTTTCTTGTAATTTTACAGACCACGTAATTCCACTACATAAAATCAGTCTGAAAAATGACGAGAACAAAAATACTGAGCATCACATGAGTCAGGTTGAGGAGGCTGGACGGTCACATCAGCATGAAAGATTAGAATTTAATTTTATGCTTAAAATAATGAAGGTAACACTGCAAACAGGGATAGTGGGTCATGATGAAAACAAAACAAGATGACAGCAATGTGTGAAGACGTTACAAAAGATTGGTGAAGGTTAAAATTCATGAAAGTCACTTCAGAAAGATTTTATATAATAGATTTAAACCTTGGCTTTAGAGTAATAAAACCCAGAGCTGCTGCCTTCCCCGAACTTAGTCAGTAGAATAGAGCAGGAAGCCAGTGAAGGTGTTGTAGTGGCTGCTGTTGTCGCAGAGGAAACATCCGATGGGCAGGTTGACCGCCACCTTGTCCCCGGCCTTCAGGTGGAGGGCCACAACAATGGTGGCGCTGTCCTCTTGGTCTTGCATGTTTTTTTCGCTGGGTCCCGCCACCACCTTGTTGTTAACCATCAGGCTGCCGCAGGCGGCCAAGGTGTTGCCAGGAGAGCCGGCATCGCTGTAGACGGTGAGGGCGAGGCTGTAGACGCCAGAGCGGGGAACAGTGAAGATACCAGTGTTCACGTTGTAGCCGCCTCCCAGGTTGATGAAGACGTGTTTGTACATGATGATCCTGTCGTCGCGGAAGGGCCCGATGCATTTCAAAGTGTCGTCATTGCTCAGAGCGACGGAGAAGGCGCTGCGGCTGGCTGGAGATGGAGAAGGGAAGAGATGTATGTGTCAGGAAGTTTCTCTGGGAGAAGCTGGGTCATATACTAAACGTATGGAGAAGCATCTGATCCACTGTCTTCTGGTTTGTATGGCTCAGGCATGTGTCTCACCTCTGACATTGTTGAGGACCGTTTTTGTTTTCATCAGTTCCTTCTCCAGCTCGCTGAGGCTCATGTTAAAGAACTCCTTCATCCTGTGAATCTGCTGCTGCATCAGACAGCAGCCACACGTCGCCTGGTCCGTCACACACACTGAACGCACACACACACACACACACACACACACACACGGTTACAGAAGGTGAACACACACATATTGACCGTTATTCCAATTACTTCACTTCCGACTCATTTCCTTAACAATCTCTCACCATTTCCTTCGTTGGGACCTGCACCTCCTCCATTGTCTGTGTTTCCGCCCCAGGTAAAATCCGGTTTGGCCAACGCTACTTCCAACAGACAAAGCAATACGATAGCTGGGAGAGGAAGAGCAAAGAGAGGATGAAAATTAAAAGTTTATCCTTACAACTTAAGACTTCCGACCATCTCCTTGCACTGCCTCGATACTTGTAAAGGCTTTTTTCAGCTTATATCAAGTCTCACCTCTCATGGTGATGCTGGCAACGGATGATAGCGTCAGAAGGCAGAAGTTCTGGTGGACTGATACAGGGTCAAGAGCAACACCTATATATATGCAGTATACATGTTTCCCAACAACTCTTTTCTTTTGGCTTTCACGTAGCTCCTCCCCGTCTCTCCCTCTGTGCTTTCATGCCTATACATTCACTCATTTCTGTTTTGAGTGGGGGCTTCGCAGACGCATACACATCCTCCAGGTCTTTGTGTTGTTATTGTAGGTCAGGTATCATCTATCCCCCGAAGCTAGCTGTCCACGTGGGTCTGCGTTCCCATCAACACACTGAGACAGCCTCTTCCTTCAGGTGTTTTTGGTCACATTAAAAGACATCCCAGTGTTTATACTGTTATTTCTGCGTCTCGCTGTGCCCTCAGCGTTTATTACATCTGCCAAGTTTGTTCAACTTTTTATCAATCAGGACAGGACACAAGGTGTTGCAGCCACATGTAAAATGAGAGTCCCCTTGTCCTCCCTTGAATAGGGTTAGGTTACTGAGCAGCACAAAGCACGGCAATTGTTGATGAGTGTTTGGAACAAGAGAGAAAAGATTCACAAAATAACGACTAATTAGAAAGAATTTGACTCAAAATTAATCTTTGATTGGATAAGAATCACAACTTTTCATCACAAGGTTATTAACAACACCTTGTCAAGATAAAGAAATGAGTAAACAAAAGATCACTGACGGGTTTTCCAAATCCACGAGGGAGGACTAAAGATATTAGAGATAACTACAGAATGGAGGTTTAGGGATCCAGGTCACTGAAACGTAGGAGTTAAAGATAAGATCAGCAGTGGGCCGGTTAGGCTTTTAGTCACATAAGAGGGACAAGAAATCAAAGAGAACCTGCATGTAAAAGAAAATCAGCAATGTTAAAAAAAAACAAGAGATCTTATAGATGAAATGTGTTTATTACTCTTTCATTTTCATACAAAGACATGTTTAGAACATTTGGAGAATGTTTCTGTTTCCTCTCTCCAACTTCTTCATCAAAATTTCAGCAGCCTTTCATTTATATACAACTCAGTCTAACTGGCAAATCGTCACTGCATCCCCTATTCCTGCCCAGAACCTGAATCCTGGGTACAGTGGGCCGCTGAACTCTTCCTGGTGCCGGTGGATCAGGTTGGCCTGGTTGTTGGCGATGCCGTAAAAGGCCAGAATTCCTGCGTGCTGGTCAAGATAGACGCCGATCCGTCTGCACTTAGGTGAGCCCAGCAGCTTTTCCTTGCCATCATGCCAGAAGGAAAAGCCGGTCCCAGACCAGTACAGGCTCCAGGACTGAGCATTGTGGCCCAAACGGCTCTTGTCATCAGAACCCTTCCGTTCTATCTCTTTGTAGGCAACACCAATGGTGACCTGTGGGACAGAGAAAGTGGATTAGGAAGGGAAACAAATCCTGGTGACTGCAGAAGATAGTGAGGCATAAAAAAAATCATCTGCAGAACCTGAAACCAACACAGATGTTTGTGAACAGACTTAGAAATGTCATCAGCTTTGCAGGCCTGTCTGGATTTGTAAAGTGATAATTCATCCTAAGGGGGGCATGAATGTGTGTCGCAAATTCAGTAGCAACGCAACCAAAAGCTGTTTCCCTCAAAACATCTCATGATGGTACCGTAGGAAAAACTAGGAGATAACTACATCACTGTTATCACGTCCTCAACTGCATTCATCCCCTTCCATTAAAGAAAAGCCAAAATTCACAACAGTCACTCAAATAACTAGAAACTGACAAAACTAATAATAAATAAAAATTTGCTAAATTAGAATTTAGTAAAATAAGACATTGCTTTTGAATTGTGATTGAAAAGAATAATTTTAAAAACACAAACAAAACTGTCCTGGACAAATGAGAGCACTTTGCTGATGAGCAGTGGGTCAGAATACCTGTCAACAGGTGCAGAAGTCAGACTGAGAGTTACAGGAAACACCTGATGGCAGTGATTGGCTCAAAGGGGTTGCTCAACTAAATATTAGTTTATGAGTCCCATCATGCTTGTTTTTTTTTAAAAATATATATTTCTGTTGAACCACATTTCAAAAGCAATGTCATGATTTTCATTAAATTTTCATTTACTCTTGTTAGTTTCAGCTTATTTCCATGACAGCTGTTTTTTTCCCCCCTTCTTTAATGGGAGGGTATGAATACATTTGAGGACATCTGTTGTCAAGGCCTAATTTCAATAGTGATCTATTATTAGATTTTATTGTAAACTCAAGTATTGCACTGTCATCGCTAGACTTGAGATCAAAAATGGGTCATAAATACCATTTGCAGGTCAAATGATGAAGTTTAATCGTGTCAATAAAGGGAACTGGTGGTCTTAAATTTTCCAATAAAAACACTTGGGTCTGGCTTAAAGAGCCTGTACTGAGCTTGTTTACAGGTGTATAATTTTGTTTTGGGCTTCTACTAGAATATGTTTGGTTCACAAGAAACACTTTCTTTTCCTCATATCGTACCATAAGGAAATAATGTCGAGCTGTGAGGCAGCTGCTCATTCTTTGTTGGAGGCCAAACCAGGCTTTATGCAGAAATGTTACATAAATAAGTCACAGAAGAAAAGCCGAGCCAAACAAAGTGTTTGTAGGGAGCAGTTTTCTTTTTCTGTGAGGAGAAAATAACTCCCTTTCATGTGGACTTACAACTTTCATCATGCACAGAAAATGTACAGTGATGTAACACAAAAAAAGAAAAGGAAATCCCAAATGACAGAGTATGGGCTGTTTAAACTATGAACTACGATGCTGAGGGATTTCTTGTAGCAGGAAATGTAACTCTGTACATTGATGAGACAAAATCCAGGTCAGAATTAGCTGAAATGGATCAGTTGACTGTTACGTCATTCCACTGCTTTCTCCACTAACGTTTTCGGACTATATCTATTTAATATGCTTTAAAATCTGGTGAAAATTTTTGATGAAAATCTGTAAAAACCAAAAGCAGTGAGCATTTTTTTTTTTACCCAAGGTTTTGTCAGTGCTGTCTAATTTAAAATACTAATCACCTACTGCTGTTATTGAATGAGACTTCAGACGACGACTAGTTCAGAGTGAGGCAGCCAGGTCAGTTTTATCATGTCCACACCACAGCAGCATTACTAAAACACACAGCAATTAACCAAAGCCTGCTTTTATTTAAGGCAGCCAGTTTGCTGAAATTGTTATTACACACCAGCAGGCATTTTGGCTTGTTATAGTAGGAAAAACACTTTTTTTTTTTTACTACTAACATCAACAAATGGCTTGTTAAAGCCAGCATTAACAAGACCCTGAAACCAAAGCAGCTAAATGGAACTCAACCACCTTTAAGTTTATTGTTTACACCAACGTTTTTCCTGCTGTGACATGTCAAATTGTGAAAATGCACTAAGTCAGTGGAGATATCCATCTTCAGCGTGAGATCAGTACACTGTGCACAGGAAGGTGTTTCAAAATGTGAAAGAGAAAAACGGTCTGTTCTGATGAAAAAGGTACATTTACATCAAATTATGCTCCAAAGAATTTGGGCTGGGCCTTTAATCCAGAATGTTCTATGTATACAGCTCATTCCTTTTTCTGACCGGCTGCATGTCCAGGTCAAGTACATGTTAATGTCACATGTTTGTCAAATAATTCAAATTTAACAAATCCTCATCAAAAAAATAAAAAATTCCCAACAAAGTCTATTTTTCAGAGATTAATCAAATTGAATGTTTGTTTACGGTTTCTAAATTAGTAATGCTTGTGATGGTATGACCTTGTGCAGTTTGGTAGAATACCGTCATGTCTCTTCATGTACGATTTTATGATGCGCTTTAAGATTGGAAACCCCAGGAACACTAACAACCATCCATCCATCCATCATCCATACACCGCTCAATCCTCACTAGGGTCACAGGGGGCTGGAGCCTATCCCAGCTGACTGGCAGCCCCACTAACAACCACTATAGTTAAAACTATTGGCATCCAAATGAATAAACCAAAGGTTAACAGAAGGATTAGAGACACAATGTTGTTTCCAGCTTCGTCTGACCAGCCTACTTATTACTGTGGTTATTCTACTTAGCTTTCAAATTTAAAGTAGTCTCCGTCTGTGGCTGGAGAGCTCTTTCATAACCACCACTAGTAATTTCTGCAAACAGGACTCTACAATTATTTTACGTCATATTCTGTCAAACTTTGCGGAAAGATTTCTATGAAGTATGAAGTGTGCACGTCTCATAGTTCTAACTTGTGTCTAAGCATTCACCTTCTGGCCAGTCCACTCCGCCTCCCAGTAGTAAGGACTCCCTCCCAGCGGCTCTCTGCAGAGAACCTGCCTCCAGAACTGGAAGCGTTCAGGATGGTCCGGTGGGTTCAGGTTCTCCGCCCGCATCGTGGCCTTATGACCGCCGTCTGACAGCTGCACGTGTCGATACACCGTGTTGGGGTCCATGGTGGGTTCAAAGCGAACTGAAGGAAGTCGATGCATCTTAGCAACAACTCTGAACCACTCTGAAGGCTTTAACACTGGGGTTCATATTGTGGAAACTGACATACTCACATTTTAACATTTCTCCTCTAGTTTTTGGTTCTGGATTCGCCAGTCCAGTTGTTTTTACTGAAGATGCTGAGACAGAGAAGAAAGATATCGATACAGCACTGCACTGGTAAAAAGTCACATTTAGCTGGTGGTGTCTTTTCCCACTCATCCAGTCAAAGCTCAACTGGCCTTTTTCTAATGCTTTTATATTTACCTTGAGGTCGGGGAGGAGGGAAGGGTGCAGGGGGGGCTGAGGCTTTATATCCAGAGAGATGGGGAGAGAGGTAACAAAGGGAACAGGTAAACCAAAGGAAATCACAACTACATGGCATATACAGTCCAATATCATTTACACTTTCTTCTTGTGTGTTGCAGGTATTTTGATTCTGAAGACACATGGGACCGCTGGGCCTTGAAGGCTAATATTGATTTCTAACTTACCTTGAGGCCTTGGAGGTGGCAAAGGAGGAGGGTTTACTGTCGACTCATACACTATAGAAGAGAGAATGAGTTGTGAGAAACACGTCTGAAAGTGTCCTTTTCTTCTATCAGTCAAAACAAACTTGTCTCTCAGCTTGAACTCATTCAGTGCTCATGTTGCGCCGGCTGATCTGGGTGAGGTTACCACACCTGTGTCTTGGACAGTGGTCCGACCTGAATGATCAGCTGTTGTTGTGCCTGCTGCTGCTGCTGCTGCTGCTGGTGCTGGTGCTGGTCCTTCACCATTGGGTGCTGAAGCCACTGAGTCACGGTTCACTACAAGAAAAGGGAAAGTTCTGACTATCTGAAGAAGAGAAGAGAAGAGAAGAGAAGAGAAGAGAAGAGAAGAGAAGAGAAGAGAAGAGAAGAGAAGAGAAGAGCTGACCTATTGTGGCGATCTTGGCCAGGCTGGCTTTGCAGAGGTCGTGAACCGACTCTTGCAGCTCTTTCATGGCTGAGCGGATGGAGGCGACCACAGCCTCCTCCTGCCTCAGCACCGACTCCCCCGTGGCTCCCGTCTGACCCAGCGGCTCCATGGTGAGGAAATTCTTGAGAGCAAATGTCACCAAGTTTCACAGTTAAAAACAGCAGTTCTTGTTTTGAATGAAACCTACTTCAGTATCACCCTGCTTCACACTCATTACCTTCAAGAAGCAGATGTCGTCCTGCATGTCAGCCAGTCTGCTCAACTCTTCACTCTTCCAGCGGAGCTGCGCCACCTCCTGCTCCATGCTGTGTATCTGCCCCTCGACCTGGCTGCCTAAGGAGGCCTCATGGCCGCAAAGCAGCTCACCAACCTCTGAGCCTGTTTGATTCACATTCTTTTCTAACTCGGAGAATAAATCTGCGCTCTCGTTCTGCAGAGCCTGGACCAAGGCCTGGTGGAAACAGGAAGCGAAGGATGTTGTGCAAAGGTGGTACAAAGGACATGTAGGTCATAGCCAAAACAAAAGACGTCATAAAGGGTGACTCATTACAAAGGTTTCTGCACAAAGATGCATATATTCCACTTACCTTGTGCTGACGAGCAGAATGTGGAACCTCCTTCAGCTTCCTCTCAGTCCCCTGGATTCTTCTGCCTACCTCTGCCTGCATCTGAACAAGCTCTTTCTACACACAGACACATACAGCACGGCTTACAGGAGGATACACACATCGTAGTGATGTCACAAAATATTTTTGGTAGAAAATCATTTTAAAGAAGAGGAAGAACCCCGGCAAAGACAGCAAAGACTCTTGTTTTACAAGTATGTCAAGTTCAGCTTCATTTTGGAAGACTTGTGACAACACTGTCTTTGATTCACCCACACCTTATTTTAGACGTCAGCTTCACATGAAGCCAAAGACGCAACAACAAAAGGATACTAAAAATGTCACCTTTGTGAAAATTATTTTTGCCAGTTACACACCTGTCTCTCTTTCCTTTCTTCTTGTGGTTTGAGAACACGATGCCCCTTGTGTCCTTGCTGGCAACACATCTCGCACACACTCTCCTTGTCTTCATGGCAAAACAAGTCCAGGGGCTGCTTGTGTTTAGAGCAAGGTCTGGGCTCCACAGAGGGAAGCTGTGGGTACACGCTGCCCTGTCGTGGTGGCCTTATGTCCGGCAGCACTTCCAAATAGATGGGCATCGATGGCGGGGCTGAGGAGGTGGCTGTGGAGGAGCTGTGCTTGAGGCTGTTGGTTCTCAGCTTCTCCATGGCCTCCACTAGCAATGTGCTCTTTGACAGTGAGGGCCTCGGGCTGAAGACCTGCCTGCACTGGGGGCAGGTGTACTCACCCCTGCTGTCTCCTTTGTCCCAGTGGCTTGTTATACACGCCAAGCAGTACGAGTGTCCACAGGGCAGAGTGGCAGGGTCCTTCAGGGTGTCCAGACAAACCGGGCAGGCAAAGCCCTCTTCTTCAGACCAGGCTGAGGCCATGTGGAGCTGAGTGGAGTAGCGAACGATGAGCTTGGTTTTCTGGAGGTCAGACCCGGATGTATGTCTCGACGACCACAAAGATCCCTGTTTAAACACGTCTTGGATCTAAGACCGATTCAAGCAGGTCAAAAAAGTTAAAGCAAGGACACCCAAGGCTGAAATGCCAGCTCACATGAATTGCATGCTGCTAAAAAAGCAGCCTTGGCTCAGGGTGGGGCTGGTTAAACAGGTAGAGTGAGGAGTTTTTCTGTCATATGTCACAGGTGTTTCTCAGTTTGTCACAGCTTTAGGAGGATCTCGTCATCAAGTGGCAGCTTAATGTCACTGTTAAAATTAGCTGCTCGCCAGAAATGCAATCAAATATTGTTCAGACATATAAAACCAAACATTTATTTTGGGTTCCTTCAAAATTAAAACTGTAAGAAACCTTTGTTTTAGTCTACTTTAAGGAACAAGGCTGAGCTAATTCAGAGTACAAACAAGACAGACTGGTTTTTCACCTCTGCAATGCAAACATTTGGGGGTTTTCACAATGATTTCATCACCAAATAATGTGAATGCTTTGTCTCACCCATACCCTAAAATATTTGCAGAAAAAGCAGGCTAAATGTAAGACTTGTGAAACAAGTTTGGCGTCATGACAGCGCAGTGAGGGCAACAGTGACGCGCTTGAAGCTGTTCTGCGCCATATTTACTGTGGGCAGCCGGCTAGCTGGAGACAGGCCAGCTGCAGCCGATTCAACTTCGAAGGTGAGCGTTTTCTGCTTTCAAAGTACGTTTCACATTCGAACTGGGTCTGTGGCTTGTTTTCCGGCTTAGTGTGGGACATGTCGGATCCTTGTTTTTGCCCACATTAAAAATGTCGCTTCGGGATACGAATGACATTAGCTTGTTAGCTCTCTGTTGTGCTATTTTTGCTAGCTGTACTTGTTAGCCGGTTAGTTAGCGTGCCTGCGTTTTGACAGCTCGAGGCTGCAAAACCAACTTTTGTCGATAGTGGAGAAGCCTCAGGCTTAAAATGTTGGCACAATGTCATTAATTTTTATATTGGCAGCTTTGTTAATAAAATACAGCTAACTAGGTAACTATCAGCAGTAGCTAATAGCCAAAGTTTGACGGTGATGGACATACAAACTTCATCCAGTTTAGGGACTGACAGCAGGACGTTTCGTGTTGGGAGACATGTTAGTAGTTTTAAGCATCAGTTCAACGTAACGTCCAAGAATTTCAATGACATTCGTGGATGAGTGAACCTCTGAGCTCCAGTCCAGCAGCCTGTCTGCAGCTGTTCGACCCTTTTTTAAATCAACTCTTTTCTTTTGGACCAGATAACATGGCGACCACTTGTTTACTTCAAAGAGGAGGTAGCTGTTCTAGCCCACCGACACTGGTATTCTGGTATTCAGTGTTGTGTGAAATAAACCAAAAATACAACTACTTGGACAGAGTGCACTGTTTTTGTGGAATAATCCTTTACGACTGTAACGCGTTGGGTTAATTAAACCTTTATTTATTTGGACAGAAAGTACTGTTTTCAGTGAAATGAAACCTTTAAAACCATCACTGTTTTGTTAGGAAGAACTATTTAAGTGGAACAAACCTTATAAAATATAAGTACTAGGACAGAGAGTAGTATTTTGGGTGGATTCGGTGTACATTTTTGGTGGAATAAACGTTAAATACTAAAAGCACATAGACAGTCATATGTTGTGTGAAACAAAACTATTAAAACCACAAGTCATGCACTTTGGCAATCATCCAGTTTAGCAGCTGATGTTGTCAAGACCAACTGAAAATGCAGCCTCCTCCGAAACACACACGATGTACTAGATCAGCTGGGTTTTGACCTACACCATCTACTTTCAGGGCGTTTGGTTCCCTTAAATGTCATTCATGCTGCTCTAACTAGCTGATGAGCCCAATTGATTGATGCATTTACAATGACAATGTTTTTAAATTCTTTTTATAGGATGTTTAGGGGCCCTCAGATCCTGACTTGGTCTTGTCCCATAAGGTCATTGCTGCTGTTGAGAGAATCCCACCTTTCTGCTGTCGCTGAGCAAACCAGTGCTGGATGGCAGGGAGCAAAACGTGTGAAAGAATGGAGATATGAAGAAATAAATGGAAGAGGCAGCAGCAAGAATGGGTCGTCCTTGTCCACAGGGACTGCATGCTGCTCAGCACAGCTGTCTTCCTTTAGCTCCGACTGTGACGAGTATCAGCTGAGAAGGGATTCATTTGAAAACCTCCCATCCAAAGCCATTGTGTTAAGCCATCATCACAACCATCAGGCTTCTGCTGCTGCAAAATCCAAACAAACATCTGACTGTTTAATCAACATGACTTGCCCTCAGCGCTGGAGAAGGCCTTGGGACTTTTGCCGGCCTTTACTCCGCTACACCAATAAGACTCCATGTAACCCTCCTCAAGGCCATTTACAGCACAGACAGCACTTTGTTAGAGCTTTCGATCTGCCGTCTAGTACTTCATGGAACTTAAGCCACTTTCACACCAGACCACAACCCCCCTGTCAGCCTTTTCACCAAACCAGAGGTATTCATCAGGCCGCCCCTCGCGTGGCAGACACCTGGAGAGACTGCCTATCCTCAGAGAATGAAAACAGGTGTCGACAGAGCCTGGGACCCAACTTGAAGTTGTACGAGGCGGAAAGGGGTAGAAAAGGGGCAAGTCAAAGCTCTGGAAAGAATCAGGGGAGGTGGGCATCCATCCTGGTCTGTCTCTGCTCTGTTGAGGGGGAGCCTTCGTTTCTCTTCACCCTGCGCTCCAGCACGCTGAAGGGCAGGCACAAGGGAGATGTGAGGTAGGTGGGAGGCCAAACACGGGCGATATTGTTCTTGTGAGCAGAATTTGATATTCGATTACGATGAAAGTAATTTCCCCGCTGGGATTATGAGTGTTTCTGATTTCGATGTGTTCTTTCCGTTTTTGTGCAGCTTTGCTGGAGGAAAGAGTGATCCATCTGACAGAGATGTGGTGGCCACAGCCCTGCGTGAAGCCCAGGAGGAGCTGGGTGTTAACGTGGCGACGGAGAGGGTCTGGGGAGTCCTGAAGCCGCACAGGGACGCGGTGAGTTTGTGGTTTGTTTTGAATGAACTGTGACAGCTTCAGGAGAAACCTGCATTTTGAGAAATTATTTATTAGTTCACTTAGTTTGCAAAATAAATGTTTTGTATTTTATTGTTATGTTTGATAAGGGTTTACAATCAATTTAATTACTGATTAATCTACCATCATATTTTATTGTATTGTCCAATGCAATGCAATGTATTGTCCAACGAATGTGGTATACTGCCTATAACGCTTATCAGAAATTCTAGGAGCAACAGGTCACACTGTCAGATTTCGTGTTTGGTCTGACCAGTTCTCTAAATAATGACCCAAAGAAGAGAAGAGCAGCAGTTCTTTACATTTTTTAGAACCGTTTATAGTGAGACTATTTCAGTTACAAAACCTGAGTGTCTTTTACGTGTTCTCTCCAGTCAGGGATGCTTATTGCTCCTGTGCTGGCTAACCTCGGTCCTCTCGAGAAGCTGACCTTGAAACCAAACCCTGGAGAGGTAAAGTGTTCCTGCATTTTAGATCTACATGAAATAGGCAGATTGTGACTGGAAGGATTAATTGTTTTGGTGATTCTGTTTTTATTAAGTCAGGAGGTGTGATGTCACTCTGCAGTCATGCCTGACCTTAATACACACTAGACTTATACATCAGGTTGCAATCATTTTCCACTTTTTCCCCAAATGAGTTTAATATTAGATCAGCAAACTGAGCTCAATTCAGCCTATTTTCTCTCTGACATGTTTTGTGAGTTTTGAGACGAGAAGCATGAAAATACAAATTGAACAGATGATGAAACAACTACCATAAAATAAAGATGTATGATCAATCAGCCACCATTTGTCATGGGCTGATACTTGCTTTAAATAGAGTCCTCTGTAAAGGCTGATGAGATAATGCAGAACTGACGAGACAATCTGTGTATTTGCAGTTAAATTGGCTTCACATACTTCCCCAGTTTGGCAGTTCTACCAGGCGTCTAAAATAGGCAATAAATCTGGATTTTATGAGGTGTGTTCCAGGGAATTTCTTAACAGAGAAGCAACCAAAATATTTTACAACCGTGAACATTATGAGACATTTGAAGGTTAGTCTCGTAAAGGGAATACGACAGTTTTCACAGCTAGCTA